AGGGGCAGAGTGGGAAGATAAACATGTGGTTTTCCTGACAGTCAGAGCGGCAGGAGCTCAACTTATAATAGGATAAGGGGTTTTGCACCTTAAAGCGAATTTTTTTGGAAAGAAAGTGTGCATGCTTAATTTTGCACCACTTCTAAGTTATTTGTATTTTTGCAGGTTTGCATATTGCATTTACGAATGCCACTGCACAACCAGGTAAAGGAGGAGGCGGAGGGGGGTTTGGCCGTGGGGGGAGGGGGGTGGCGGGTGGCTGGGGTGATGGGGGTGCACCTCTGCACCTTCCCTCCTCCTTCCCTTATTTATTTGTCTGTATTAGTTAGCTCCTTCTCAGCACTTAAAATTAATGTCATCCAGCACAAAATAGAGGCTGAAAGCTAAAATTCAGCACTTTTTCAGCAACCCGGTTATTTATCAAGCTAACAAGGAGAAGATGCATCCTGTTTCAGTCGTGCCTAGGAAATATGTGCCATTAAAGCACAGAGCTTGTGTTTGAGAGCCGAGAAATAAAAGTGAGTGTGTCAGGGAGAGCGGATGGACGACATTGCCGGCAATACGGATGTGGAGAGAGGAGCAGACACATTTATATAAAAGGGACAATGGATGCTCTTGGATTGAAGCATGAGAGTACATGTCCTCCATGTGTGTATTAGAAGTGCTGATTCGCTGACGGCTATAAAAGGCGATCCTTTAGGGGAAACAGAAGACATAGTTTGGAGCTTTGAATAAATCATGTGCTGCCACTGTGAGGTTAGCGCTAATTTTCTTTTTAGGAGAAGGGTGTCGAAACACGTCCCGAGGACTGTTAGTATTGTGCTATGTTAACATCTCTTTGGCATCAGGAGCTAACGGCCGAGCGTTGGAATTCAATTAGACACTGAGTGCAATGCTAAGCAGGTTGCAGGGGCGGTCACCGCAGGGAGGAAAGGAGAGGAGAGGATAGTGACGCTGGGGGAAAAGAAGGATTGTGTGTGTGTGTGTTTTTTTTTTTGCACCACTGTGAGTAGACAGGGAGACTGCAGGCTGAAGAGGAAGGCCCCTCGGCTGCTGTGATTCAGGCGAATACTTTATATCACACTGACCTGAGGCTCATCACCAGTTCCTCTGCCAGTAAGTACCTGAGGACAACAGAAGCTTCCACACACACACACACACACACACACACTTTCCCACCCTGTGGGGAGAGCTTTGCAACTAATTATGTTTGAATATAACAAGGCATTTTAGATCTAACTAGCTGAAGGAGCTGAGAGAAAATTGTGTTAACATAATTTCAAAAAAGACAAGTTGGTTGATGTTTGAAAGTTTAGCTGCAGGGCGATGCTTTCTACTCAAGCAATATTACTGTAGCTCTGAAGCAAAATAAAACACATTTTTAAAAACAATCCAAGTTTAAACACAACTGTTCAACGTATGTGTCTTAACAAGTGTTATTCACCTCCCTTTTTCTGGATTTCAGAACACGCTTCTTCTTGCTTCCTCTTTTTCAGACGAGCCCATATAATGAGCATACATCCAGTTCATATCCTCCTTGTCATTTGGATTTTACGGATAGAGGGATGACGTCTGTGTCAGTACCAAACCATGCCGGTGTAATGAGTCTCCCAATGTGCACTATAGTGGTTATATATAACTCAGCTGGTGAAGGGAAGTGAAGTATGTCACTCTGTTGGGGAAGGAAAACCTGCTCACTGCAGAATACAAAAGCACTCAGCAGTGTTTCATAAATGACAGTTCAGAGTTCCGGATTTAGATGGCAACACCTTGATATGTGTTGTTTTCCACCTAAAATCAACTTGTTTAAGTGGGATGTCTCCTCAGGAATTTTTTTATTCTGAAATTTAACAATGATTTTAACAGAATAATGTTTTCTGTTTGTATGCAATCTTAAACTTCTGAAGAAGTTCGAAAGAAAGTTCTTAGGTACAGTATGTGTAATAATATCTTACATTTTAATAAATTTAGTGCAAGTCAGAGGTTTGTATACTTTGTTATCGGCATGGACGTAATGCTAGCCTTTGCTTTCAATAATACATTTAGAAACTTATTTTTTCTAAGATGGAATGATGATAGAAATTCAATGCAATAATTTAAAAGCAATAATTAAACAAATAAATTGAATATTATGGGGGTTTTCATTAGAACAAAACTAAAAAGTTTTGTAAGTTATGGTCAGATTTGGGCCACTAATAATAATGGTACTGTACAAAAAGCAAAATGGAAGCAAAGCACTCCTGAGTTTTATTAATTATATTAACAGAGCAGAAAGTTAAACACAGATTAAATCCTCTTTAATTTAATTACTTATTTTATATGCATTAGTATGTCATAAATAAGCTGAGAACATGTCCTCATGAATTTGGGGCTCTGTGTTTTGACCAAAAATGTGATGCCAGAATTCATTTACATTATTAAATAACCACAATAACATTTTAATGTTGTAAAATATAGAATGGTGAAAAGTAAAAGTTTTTCCTTTACAGTTAAGTGCATATTTAAAAAAAAAAAAACATAAGATTTGAGGGCCAGCAAATTTACAGATCGGTTATTTTTCCCTATAACCTCTTTGATGCCTCCATCTGCAGACACCGTACTGCCTGTATGGAAGATATTTGCCCTATCTTACTTGCAGAAATGGTAGCGCTCATCTAAAATGGCCGGTTTGCTGCCATGGGTCCAGCTATAAAGTGTAGTGTACATATTTTCAAATGATTCAACATCAGAGCGTCTACAGAGGCTTCCTGTTAACCTACTTTATCAATTACAAAATCAAAAGTCAAGCAATGACAGAATGTTTCTGTTGGGCTGATCAACAGCAGCCGGTTCTGATGCATCTAAAAGGTGAATAAAATTATAACAAAGGATCCCTACCTACAGGTTTTCAACTTTATCAGTGACTGCCTGGTGGCCTGAAACCCGTCAAAACTGCTTTTCATGTGTGTTGGAATGAAACAGACAAACAGCTTCAGCAAAAGCCCTAAAGTAAACTCTACTAAAAATCATATGCTTTGCTTAAAAGAAGCGAACTAATGAGTTTAACGAAAACTACCTTATTGGAAAAGAAAAGTCATAAAATATCTAGTAAGATCATTGCTGGGATAATTTCTACAAAAAGCAGGTGGGTTCTCTGCAACTTCTAAACTAATATTAATTTAATGTTTATGTGTAAAACCTTGTTGTGCTTGTTTCTGATTGGATTATGCTAGTCCTCCCTAACAGTTCAAAGGCATTATTAAAAGCCCAAGATACTGTAAATCTGCCATTCCTTCAGATGATGAAAGTGTGTAAAAGCAGGTAAGATACTTTCATTTATACATAGATTCTCTTTTATTTCTTTTTCTTGCACACCTTGAATGGAAGTTTGTTCTTACTCTGCCGCTATGATAACAAATACCTGACCTGCCTGCTGTCAGCCTCAAAAGCATCTTAAACCTCCCGACCCCTCGCTCCCTTCCAAAAAGTGATCGACTCACCCTGTCACAGCGAGGGGACGGCAAGGGGAGAAGGGATGACGGTGGGAAAAAGAAATGAAAAGGAGATAGAGGGTGGTACCGGAGGAGGGATTGAGAGGGCTCAGTTCAGCTCTACAGCTTCCTTCTAATGTGCCCTCTCCACTCCCCTCCCTGTGACCTCAGCGCTCCTGACAGCAAGAAAGTGCTGAAGCATGCAGGTGTCCTAATGCTGCAGACACACACGAGGAAACGCAAACCTGGACTGCACACACATACAAACACCTGCACACACGTATGCACGAGTCCTGCATTACTTTCCCGTTTTCTGCCTGTTATTCTATTCTTTCAACACCTGCCTACATTATTGACAGCCCTTCAACATGTTCGACTGCTTGGCTATTTATAAAAAAGGACTTGACGTAATGTGTTTAATAAACTAAATATGCAATTGCTTCGCAAGCAGAACACATGAGGAAAGCAGAGTATGCTGGCGGCTGCACAGTAAAATTAGCTGATGCTGATGCTGTAGTTTTTCACTGTCCAGCCTTTTAACTGCATGAGCTAAAACCTGAAGTGTCCAGAGAGTGTCCTGTCCTGTGTCTGTGTGTGTATATGTGCGTGAGGGGGTTGGCATTAGAGAGTTGTATTACAGTGGTGATGAGTCGCCTGACTGCAAGTCTGATACCTCAGCAGCACCCAGCATTGACCAGGCTATTAAATAAAGCCTTCGATCCTCCAGCAGCAGAGAAGGTCACCGCCTGCCTCTGGTTACCCTGCCTGTCTGTCTGCATCCATGGCCAGGAGCCCTCCTGCCATGCATTCCTCACCCCTCTCACCTCCTCATGTCCCCCTTCACCCTATCGTGGACATCCAGATACTTTTCCTTTCCTTTCCTAAATCCCTAAGCTCCTTTACAAACTTTCCTCCTTCCATCTTTGCTTCCTTCTCTGGAGCTCTGCACTGCCTTGCCTCTTCCATCTCCTTTAGTTTTTCTACTGGAAATGTCAGGCGGCGAAAAACTAGTCCTTGCGTTCCCTTTCTCACTCCATCAGTTTCACCATCCATCCATCTCTCTGTCAACTCCAGATAAAAATAATGTCCAGGGCTTTTTGTTCTTTTTCTCTCTAGCACTGAGTGTGGAGAGGATGAGAGGAAGCCAGAGGAGGTCAGAGGAGAGGTGAAAGGTTTTGGTCTCATCCCAAGAGTACTGTGCATGTCACCCACTGTCATTCAGAGAGCACTATTAAAGCTGAAGCAAAAAAAAATGCAGTCAAACTTTAGAGAAAAGGAAATTTAGAAGTCACATCAGAGAATAAATTGGTTGATAGAAAACAGTGATGCTGTTATTAAAGAGCTGGTGTTTAGAAATACAATTATTCCTTAAATGCACCTTCTTGTTTGTTATTTTAGAGTCTTACAACTTTCTTGAAAATATGTTTCCTTTTCATTTTCCCTCGGTTTATGATACAACATATAATGAGAATACTTTCCAGAAAACACAATTACTGTAATAGAAAAAGAAAAACAACAACAATTAGTTACCGCAGTCTCCAGGGGGACCAAGAAATCACAGCTCTCTATCACAGATGGAGGAATTTTCTTGACGTCCTAAAGAAAAATGAAACAAGAATTAATTTAAAGGCTAACAAATTATTCCAGTCGAGGTGAAATTAACTTTTGTTGATAAATGTGTGGATGTTTACCGTCAAAGGGTTAAAAAAAATGGTTACAGAGAGCTACATGTAATGGCAATGAGAAAATAAAACTTTTAAAATGAACTGAAGTTGATATCTCATGCTGATATAAGTTTACACACAACTGTGAGGTAATATTAATTAGAAAAATTTTGAATCAGATCTATCACTGCTCAGCGACACAGTGATGCATTGCAGCAACAAAATTTCATGTTTGCATGTGTTCTTTGTGTATGTGGTTTCAGGATCCTAACAGATAGAAATATATATATTGTGTGGGGTGTGTGTGGGGGGTGTGTAAGTGCATGGTGTTTGGGACTGTATATTTCTGTGTTCCCCTGTAATTGACTTGCAACCTGTCCAGGCTAAACATATTTTATTAGGGAAATATGATATGGATGAAGGGAAGGGAACATTAATGGTTATCTTTAGCCATTGTACATGGACGTATAATTGTATAATATTCATAGTTGGAGTAGTATTAGCACTTATGGTTGTGTGGGCTATGGTCTGTCGGTGATTAAATTTTATATAATATAATATATATTATATATATATATATGATTAACTTTTGGGTAGTATGGCCTCATAAGTAAAGTCGGATGTAGGGAGATTGAGTGTATTAAGGTATTAAGGCATCCTGTCACTATATGGGGCATGATTCAAAAAGTTTTACTTCTTCAGTAAATTGTAATTTGAATTATAATATACAATATTACAGCTAAACGATGTTTGTGTGATTTTGTTATTTTATATTTTGTCTGATATAGATCATCCATTTATTCACTCATTCGTTCATTCAATAATTTACTAATTTAACCATTCATTCATATCCCACCTCTCTTCAAGAAGATCTCCAATGTATAAACAAAAGATAGATATCTAAGTATAAATATAGTCTGATATTGCAAATAAAATGAGAACATATATGTATTATATACCTATCTGTATATATTTATGTACTTATGCAACTTTTGCATTTCTGAATAAACAAAATTATTTACACTTGCTTCATCAATGAGTATAGTGATAGGTTAAACTCAAAACAAACTGAAAGAGGCCTTATTTTCTTGGTCTAGAAAGACAGAATTGAAACGGTGGAGTGCTGAAGATCACCAGGTCATCTCTGTCTGTCTTTAAGCAACAAAAGAAAGCAGGGATTTCTATTCATTTCTCTGTAGTCCAACTCATACAGCCACCACATGGACTCTGACCCATGGAGCTGCAGAGGAGTTCCCATTGACTGATCTGCAATACAGTCAAATGTTATCAGCTGGAAGCTCACCAAACCCTCCACCTGACTGACTCCTATCTGTTTTTTTAACTACAATTTATGAAAGTTGGCTATGAAGACAGAGATATTAAACCGTTGATAAACACAGGGGCCTCAGAATTACAAGTGAAATCTTCACTGTGTGTGTCCACTTTTTGGCTCGCCCAAACAGCCACATGCTCACGTGAGTGAGCCCCACGTGCAGATGGCTTGGACATGGCAGTCGTGTTTGGGGTCAAGGCCTCTCCCAGGTACAAATGAAAGGGAGAGGCGAGACTCTAGAAGTGGCTGAACGACGGTGTGGGTCACCTTGCCTGAGAAAGAGATCAATGTCTGTTTGACTGGCCGAGGGAGAGGCTGCCTGCAGAGGAAGGGTAAATCACCCGTTGCTTCATTGAGATGCAGGTAAAATACACAAGGGTCGGGCTTAGCTCCAGCTCCACCCTGGATGACATAAACTCATACATGCCGACCATGCTTCCTGCATCTTCCGAACCTTCCATCACTTCTTAAGACTCAAACAACTTAAATCCTATTCACCCAAATTGTCACCATTGCTCTCCAGCTGTGCATTCTAATCAAAGTTCTTTGCAAAGGTTCATGCAAATCTAGTTGCACAGAAGTAGAATTTTCAATCCAGAAAATTAAATGTCTCTCACAATGCTTTCTTCTTACAGGGAAAACAATTTTCCAAAATGCATCTACAGAAATGAAGAAACCCATGTTTACCGCTGGAGCATTCTTTGCACATGCACAGTCGCGACAGGATGGGAAAGAGGTAAATTATTAGGGTTTCAAATAAAAGACATAACTCAGGACACAACGAGGGGGCAAAGGGAGGAGGCTGCTCCGCCACTGACAGAGCTGGATGATAGACGGGGCACAGAGGAACATGAATGCAGCTGATTTAAATCACTTTAAATGTAAATGTTTATCGCATGGAGTGATGCAGACGCAGACTGAGTAGAAAAGATTGAAAACGTTTCCTCTTTTGAATGTGAATTTGTTTTTAACCCTTTGGGTATATCAGGGTGTGAGTGGGGGGGTGCAGGGGGGAAGGGTGTATTATGGGGGCGGTGGAGACAGGGAGTGGAAATTCAATAAATGCAGCTGTGTGTCCTACTGTAGCAAAGTATACTTTCATGTTAACATAAAACCTTTTTTTTTATTTAAAATCAGAAACTTAGAGCTTAATCTGTGATGAGTATTTTAGTGTTAGAAGAAGCTTTTCAGGTTGGAAATGTATGATTTTGTAGAAATAATATAATTCTGCTTTTTGGGTCAATATTAACATTGTTCAAAGATAAAAGCTTGAAAATCCACCAGCATAATGAAAAACTGAGTTACTTTAGATTTGACAAGCTAAAGCTGAAGCACATGGACAACCTTCCACCACAAGGTCACATATAAGGCATTGCACGCTGGATATCGAGTTTGTGCACACAAACAGAGACTCAACAATGAGCACGTCCTTTGTCTTACTAATTCTGAGACATTAAAGCAAAGCACATGACGATGATTCAAATGTCAATACTGATAAATTTCAAAGTGATTTCCCATAGTTGACCTGAAAGAGAGGAGACCAATATTATGACAGCAGACAACTACATTATCTTTAATAACCTAATCATTGGACAGACTGCAAATGATCACAGCACAGAAGTCAATATACTGAGCCTGAGAATAGAATTACAGCTTATAATGATGGGATTAATAATGCACCATGTCTGTGCTCTGCATGTGCACGCTTTTCTCTGAACCAGAAGGCGGTGAAAGGAGGACGCGACCGAGGAAACTCTCAAATGTTTGCTTCCTGTTCCTCCTGCCCTCCTTCGGCTACAGGAAGTGTAATCAGTGCTACTCTCCTGGCCCCTAGTGTGACTAGAGGTCAAGATCTACACTATATATAAAAAAAAACATCCTACACATTTCCACAGCAGCTAGCAAATTCAGCAATTTCCCCCCTATAAAACGCACAAGAAGTGCAAACCAGACATCCACGACTTCAGCTGATCATGTCACCGTCTCAGAACGAAAGGAGGTGACATGAAAGACCCACAGTGTCTCAATGTAGTTCCAGAGGTTATAACACAAATGTAATTAAATAGCTCACTATATTGACCTAATCAGATAGGGCCATAAATTAGTGGATACGCTCACTAAAAGGCCCTCTCCTCTCAGCTAGTGTGCATCCCTGATCGTTTATCATTTGAAAGAAAGCAGGATGACAGCCAGCCTCTCTGATGTCTCTCACTCTCTCTTTTAATCACAGACAAATATCCTTCATTTCCTCTGGATAAGCTTCTGCTAACATGCCTTGTCTTCTTTAGCTTTGACCTTTATGGAAGACAATGGTGCACAGGTGAGGCATATAAGGATTTGTCTGGGCACCCTGCAGTTTACTTCCTGTCTGAAATTTGTATGCAAACAAAATAAAAAATAAAAACAGCTCTAGTTCTCATATTAAAATAAACAACATCAATGAAATAAATGTCCAATAGGTCATGCGGAGAGAGAAAACACTTTCCCCTAATTTCACACAAACGCTGTACACATACTTATCACAGCCATAAAGGTTTCCAGTAGAAGGCATTGTGGTGGCATTCGGTCCAGCCTAGAGTGCTGATCTTTAAGATGCTCAGAGCAGAAACCATCTGCAAGCTGGATTCAACCTATTCTGTGATGCAAGTCTGAATGACAGCTTATTCCACCTGGTTTTCTACTATTATCTAGTATAAATACCACCTAGTAGTGTAAAAAAAAACAGTCTAATTAATTGAAATAATCTCTTAAATGTGGTGCAAAATTTTATTAATGGGATTAAATGGTTTTAATTTGCAGCCCGTCGAATTTCTCCTATGTTTTCTTTTTTGTTAGAATATACTTTGAAATATTTTATTTTTACATTGCATTATTCAGTCTACACAAAATACACAGTGTTATTAGTCATGAACAGCGTTGTGTGTGAGCCTAATATGAAGGACTCTATATACTGCGTTCAACTAGTGGAGCAGGAAAAAGTACAAGTTTGCTCTAAAATCAATCATTAACCCTGCTTTCCTCTGATACCTTGCGGCATAGATCTACATGCATAGAGCAAAAATTACACACATTTTCTGATTTTCAATCATTTTTAAAGAAAGATTCCTGCTTTCGTGGATTTTGGGGACGTTTAGGCCGTCATTTAATTTTTATTTATTGGAGAAAATAAATCTGTGTTTCTTTAAAAGAGAAAATAAATTTATATACAATAATTAGGTGAATAAAAGTATCAAAAAATAAGTGTCTTTATCAGATGGAGCTGTCATTTGACGATTATTTTGCACCGTTTCCAATCACGCGGATAAAACCAAAGCTAAAAAACGCACCTCAAACTTTGGTTGTTATTTCTATTTAAATTTGAGTTTCATGAAGAAGAGATAAAAAAAATGCAACCTGGCCCGCCTTTAAAAACATCCAGATAAATAATATGCAAAACTGAGATGAACAAAAAAAAAAGGAGGATCAGGAGAATAAATTTGTTTTTCATCCATAAAGGTTTATTGATGAATGTTAAATGTGTAGATTTCTGACCTTCACTTTAAAACATTTCGGTTTATTTTATTAATAGATAAAAGAAAATAAGAATACCCGCAGTGATGTACATATTCAGTCGGTTGCTTTAAAAAAATGCAGACACTTAAAACAGTCCATGATTAATTTGAGGCCATAAATTAATTGTTCTTTTCGTCTAATTGCAACAAATTTGATATATCTTATTGTGATATTTAATTATCAGTCCCACCTGTTGATTAATCATTTTGAACTGTTGTAAATCAGGAAATATATTTACTAATTCTATTTCTCTGTGTTTTCGGGTATGCCTTCAGTATCAATCAATAATGAGGACAAAGTTGCTTTACAGTCGTTTTCCCCACGTGGCTCCAACAGAAGCCAAAGTCTTTCCCGCAATCGACTTTAAATATTAAGTAATGGAGCTGAACAATGCAATCATGATACAATTACAAAAAAAAAATCAACAAAACAAAAAAAAAGAAAAGATGTTCTCAAAAACAACTGACAGAGTGCATGACCAGCATGCATGCTTTCACTTTCTCACAACAGTCTGCAGAGTTTTGATGTGACAGAGTTTGGTCATTTTTCACAATAAAATTTAAATGTGTGATCATTGGACTACTGCGTATCTAAATATATTTAAAATAAGATCAATCAAAGCTGCTGAGCTTAGAGCAATAGTTGCTTTTTTTTTTACACTTATCTAATTTGGGTGTAAAGATGAATGACGCAGACAGAAAAGACAGACAAACATGAAAAAGTGGACTTGGATCCTTAAAAATGTCCTATTTACTTTCTTTGAAAGATGATCAAACAGAAATCAAAATAGTCTTTTACATGGAAGCCGTTGAAATAAGTAAAAAAAAAAAGTGTTTTATTACATTTTTTTGTCCTTTGATTTGAACTTAAGCCGATTTAACCAACACATAACCGTCTTTTAAGTTGCGCGCAAACTAGAAGTTTTCTTTGTGATTCAGGGTGAAGTTCGCTTTTCACAAACTTTTTCAGCGGCGACACTCACATGAAAAACTCCGGAGATGAAGGGTTGTTGTCGCTGCTGGAGCCTCCGTTTTCTCTGAAGCCGGTGCTGATGAGCTTCTCATATTTCTCCTTGTAGGCGTCCCTCTCCCTGGCCAGCCGGGAGATCTCCTGCTTGAGGTGGTCCACCTGCTGCATGAGCTGCGTCTTCTCCCCTTCCAGGACGTGCCGCTGCTGGACGCGCTTGTACCGACAGGACTGCGCATAGCCTCTGTTCTTTAGTGTCCTCCTCTTCTGTTTCAGACGGATCACTTCTTCCTTGCTGACCCCCCGGAGCTGCCGGTTCAGTTCCCGCACCGACATGGTGACCAGCTGCTCGTCCGAGAAGCGCTCCTCCAGCCGCATGTGCTGGTGGTTGCCCCCCGCGCCGCCGCCGGACTGGGACCCGGAGGAGGGGTGGTGTGCCCCTGTGTGGTGGTGGTGGTGATGGTGGTGGTGGTGGGGAGCCCCGTTCTGGGCTGCGGCAGCGGCGATGACCGCGGACACCACGGCGGCCGCCGATCCCATCTCCTCCCCGGCCATGGCGCCTCCTGCCCCGGCCGCTCCGCCGAACTGTTGCCCTCTGGCATAGCCGTCGAAGGTTTGGAGCTGGTGACTGCTGCTGATCAGCGCCTCTACGGCGTCCTCTGGGCTAAAGCCCAGAGCCTCGGGGTTCAGCTGCTGCTGGTACCCGGTCATCCAGTAGAAATCCTCCAAGTGCGTCTTCTGTTCGCTCCCTGATCCCGGACTGGGCGCCGAGAAGCTTGGAGAGGGGGGAACCGAGCTGCAAGGCGTGCTCATCGGGGTGGAAGATAGGGATCCCCCGGCGACCAGGCGGCTGCACTGGTTGATGATGCGATCGGGCTCCACCGGCTCCTTTTTCACTTCAAACTTCATCAGATCGAAGTCATTAACATATTCCATGGCCAGGGGACTGGTGGGCAGGTCGGAGTTGCTCATTGCCAGCTCTGATGCCATCCTCTTGCTGTTGACAGTCCTCCAAAGGGGGTGAGGAGCACCTGTCAAAGTAGGCTGCTGAGACACGCACTGAGCCAGCTTGATTTCTTTATTTATTTTCTTCAAAACAGAAGGAAAAGTGAGTTCTCTCGCACTAATTGCGCTGCGCAGGTTCGGGTTTTGTGAGTCGATAAGTTTTTTCTCTCTCTCTCTTCAGTCTGTGTTGCACAGACGCATTGGAGCAGCGCTGTTTCCTCCCTCTCTCCCAGCGTGCGGCTGTCTGAGCGCCGCTCTCTCTGTTTCTACCGTTTAACACTTCATGGCTCCTTTTAGGATTAGTGCGCCAATTTGAGGAGGTTCACGTATGTGTCCCAGCCAAATAGTTGCCTAGTAGAGAATGAGAGTAAAAAAAAAAAACTCCACCCAAGGATTGATAGATATTTTTTTTTTTTTCAATGAGATCAGTCAGCCGACGAGTTAAAAACCATTCCTTAGTTTTATAGGCGTCCTGACGTCAGGAATGAAATATGAAATTGACTGAGACCCAACCAATCAGCACACTGGTCCAAGGACTTCATTAGCATAATAGAAGAAAAGTTTTTTATACCTGTCAAATAGATCAAAGGGCTTATTTTTGAGAATAAACAATTATGTTTTTGTCATTTTGAACAGAAAAAGAAATAAAATTACGAAAAAAAATGCGAAGTACATTTTAAAAAAGAGGAGACTGCTTCTAATCATAATAACTGCCCAAAATACTTTAATGCAACTATCAACAAAAATAAGTGAATAAAGAAAAGATGTAAGGAATATAAAAGAATTGACACTAAACCCAGAGTTTAATATCCCTTTGATAAATAGGTTGTAAGCTGGGATATGAAATAATATTTGATTTATAATATGGTCAAATTGTTAATTACTAATTAATTAATTACAAAGTTGCAACCCTTCATCTCTTCAAATGAAGTGCAACATTTTGTATTTAAAAGCATCATCTTGTGTTGAAATCGATTTCACTCAACTGTTTCCTCAAATGTCAAACACTCTGTTTATTTAAAAAGCCAAACGGCAAGAGATGCTGCATTTATGTGAGTAAAGTTGAATGTTTGAAAGCAGCATGGCATGGGTTTAGTCTGATTCAATTGCACTGTTTTTAAACCCAATGTCGCCACCTTTCGGCATAAATGAGAATTTCTTTGCGATGTTCTTCAACCCCAGTATCACACTCCAAGTGTCCCATGTCAATATAAAGCCCAGTCTCTCTAACAGAGCAGTCTGTTCTGACAACATGTTTCCCTCTGGACTCCATCATCCAAATCTCACATTATGATCATGTGTCTCTGTTTCTGTGTCTACTGGAACACTCTCCTCAGGAGTCATTGCACATAAGAACAAACACTAAGCAGGGCTATACTCTCAGGACCAGAGAGTAAATAAGAGCGCTCTCCCTGGATTGTGTCACACAGGGGAAGCTTCAGAAAACTACAAAGCCGCCTGCAGATAATCCAACTCCCCGGTGTCCTAAACACAAGTAAATATTCTCCTGGTCCCTGTGACTGTTCATGGGACCTAATGTTAAACAGGAAGAATAAACATTGTGTTTTATTCATTAGAGTACACCATAGAAGCCCCTCAGATGCCTATGAATAAATATAAGTCTGATGTAATGTCTCATCTGAAGCTGCTGCACATTGCTGCTGACTGGCAGGAACTTTAAGGAACCGAGTGTGAATGTAAGGCTAAGAGATTTATTTTCATGCAGGTTATTATTATTTTCAAACTTTGAATAATTGGCATTTTAGATTTCATAAAATGTGTGTTTCCTATGAGATTGTGAAGACTTTGATATTATTTTTGCATTCAAATAAATCAGTCAATTAATCTTTTTTGGAGGTTTTATATGAATTTGCTTAAACAGTGTTATTTTTTTTTTTTTTTTTTTGGCATTCACACAGTAATATTCCAAGAGGCAAAAATAAGAATAATCACAATGCAATGTGGCTGTACACCATTATTAAATTTAATTTTAAAAAAATAGGACAAACACCTGCTGCTGTTGCTTAGGAATAGGTGATACTCTTTAACTATTAGAAACCTGTGGATGCTACAGACTTAAATAGAGGACACATTCATCCTGCTTAGGACACCAGGATGTATTCAGGACAGGATATTTCCTATTTTCTACCACAAACAGAATCACAAAACTCTGTTCAGGAAAAAATATTTCGCAGTTTGCTCCACATTTCCATGACATAGGTTGAAATGTAAGCAATATGGTGCTGTTATGTGTTATATCTTTGTTGTTGAAAGTCCATCTTTATATCTAAGGCCTTCCATTTCAGCTTTTTACCCCCAAAACACACATTTTGCCATTCATTGCATACAACCAATCCAGTCATTTTAAAAGTGATGTGCAGTCATTTTGCCCCTTGTCTCACTTCCTGTCTGACTCAAATTACAGCACAAGTTCGATGAAAATAGGCCCCTATAAGTCGGGGAAGAGCATTCTGCTCAGCCCTTTCACTTCAATGTATTCCAATTCTGCAGTCATCATAGTACCCAGTTTTTGGTTGGGTCGTATATCAAATTTGATCAATTATGTCATGTCAGCTTAAACTACAAAGACTTTGCTTCATAATATAACTCCCCCAACAGTTATTTAAAAAAAGTATCTGTGGCCAATACACAAAATGGTAATAAGTCAAGAAAAACAAACTTTTTATTCCATGTATAGAACAAAACCTGACTCATACAAGAAAAGAAAAGAAATTCCATTTTGAGTGGGATCATTTTTTTGTGAGTTTCTGGGTCAAAGCATTCTCTAAATTCTCCTTAGGTGTGAGTGTGTGCATTAATGGTTGTCCCTTTTTGTCTGCACGTTGCCCTGCGATGGACTGGCGACCTGTCCTGGGTGTACCCTGCTTCTCGCCCGTAGACAGCTGGAGATAGGCACCAGCACCCCTTGCAATTATTCTCATGTTTATACATCCAGTATTAGGTCAAATGAATACTTCCCTCTGGCCATGTGAGCTCTGAGTTTTCTAGATCTCATTAACCAGAATTTATCTACCTGTAGTGTTCTGGGTTAACAACTATAGTACAGAGCCATTGCATTACTGCATCACTGTAGGCTAATAGTGTCGGAACCTGCTCATATTGTCTCCCTTTGGAGTTTCATGTAGAGAGGCTGCATTTAAGTTTACTGCGGTCTTTATTGTATTGAGGATATATTTTTGCATACTGGGATGCACTTAGGATGATCTTCCTACAGAAGGGGGCCCACTTACACAATGTTTGTAAAGAGGAGAGCTAAGAGCATTAGGAGATATTATAAAGGCATAGTTAAGTGCCCTAAGTTACATAAATGCATATAGAGTTGTACAACTGCTGCCTGTTTCTTTAAGAAATTAATACAGATAAAAGCCAATTTAAAAGCTTTCTTTAAATCAGAATTCTGCCCAGTGGGAAATAATCTCATGTAAACAGTTCTTCTTATCTTTTTTGGTATGAATATTAGTGTTTTTGCATTGAATGTATTCTGCTGAGAGTATATTTAAAGACCAGCCACAGTATGTTTGAAATTAACTGGTATGTGACCTTTTGCAGTTTAGCCCTTAAAGGTTACAGGTAAAGGATCACCCATTATTTCCTTTCTCCACTGTTGTGTGAGGGGAAATTCATATAGAAAAGCTCTATTGCCAAATAGAATCTATCTGTAATATAAGCAAAGTATTCTTCATAGGTTTTAATCAGTATTTCCCATTAAAAACTAGATTTAGAATATAGAAAACTTGAGACATGCCAAAAACTGCTGAAAGTGGATCATCTTTAACAGACAGTAACTTAAATAAGATGACATGAACTAAAGGATTCCTGTATTACTAAGATTATGCTTCATAATCATCCATTACATTCCCAGTGGGAGGTGGGCTTCATTTTCATCCCCAATCCCTGTTTAATGCCATATATTAAACTCTGGTGGCACTCCAAATGGAGGACAACCAGACGAGTGGGCTCAGTGGGCTCATCTGAGCCACATTTAATTAGAAGGAGAGAAAATGAAATGTTTCTTTGGGTCTTAACTAACTGTTGTATCTTTTGTATTGGAATGAGGATGTGTGAGAAGCTATTACAAAGAAAGAAGCAGAGAGAAAAGCTCTGCACCTTTATTTATCAGAGTTTTAATGTATAGAGTAGAAAGGGGGTAGGATCACCTACAGGAACAGGCTAAGACCTTACAGAAAGAAGAAAAAAAAAAAACTACTAATGCATAATTTAAATATGCTGTTTCTGGCGGAGACCATCTTTTTGCTCTACATCCGTATTGTTTGTCTATCATTTTACCAATGTACAATAAGACAACAAATGAAATATTTTCTTCTTTTTTTTATGAGGCGTGGAGTGTGTAAAATTTCAGACAATAGATAATAATTTAAACAATAATTTTAGAAAATTAAGAGTGAGCATTATCACATCTACACACAAACACACAGGCATGCATGGGGGAATATGCAAACTCCATGCAGAAATGCCCAGAGCCAGGAACTGAAACCAGAACCTTCTTGCTGCAAGGCAACAGTGCTACAAACTGTGCCACTGTGTACTTTGGAAGATATTTTACAATTTACAATTACAGAAATTGGAAAATCCAAAAACTAAAAAAAAAAAAATCAAGAAAGGACTCAAAAATCAACAGATGGACGGATGTAACTTATAGTGAATGGAAATAATAAAGGTTTGAGACACAAATATTTTTTCCATAATTTTTTTTTCTTTTTATAGTTTCACAATTTTCTTTTTTTCATTCATTCAGAGATCATATTCCGGAATTCTCCAATTTTCTTTAGTCTGCATAGCTGCCCTGTTTTAAGAACACTCGACTAAAAACAAAGGTTCAATCATGATTTTATTGAGCGAGCCAACATTGTCTGCACATTTCAAGCTTACAGTGAGCTTTTTCTTTAGCTAAGGAACATAGAAATCGTAGGCTCTCTCCCTTGTTAGGATCCGGTCCTGTTACAGTGAATTCATGGATCCCAAATGTCTAGGAAACGGCAGTGGTATGATCTGCAGCTGCCTTTTTTGTCAAGATCGGTAAAAATGTCATTACAATAATCTGACCAACCGAATGCAACCCATATACCACTCTTTGTGCCCTGACCAGAAAGAAACTGTTTATGTTGCTATTGTCTTAAAATAGTAATATGCTGGTTTAGCAGTAAACCATTTGAATGTTAAAAACATTCGACTGAGTCCATACTGAGACTCAAGCCCACAGAATATTATTAAAACTGCTTTGTAATCTTGCAATTTTTGGGAGAAGATGACAATGTCTTTCTGCAATAAAAGTATAGAGGTTGATCTTTTATTTCCGGGTGGATAATCTAAATAAGTGGTCCTCCT